TTTTCATGAAGCATATGCTTTATCACAATACATCCCTCACAGGGGATTGGCTGCGTGTGCGCACATTTCATTGCAGCTTGTCAACGCATCTTTCTCACTCGCCACCGGATGGGAGGAGTGGAGGAGGATAGATGTTAGAGTAGGCAGGGGGAGAAAGAGAGAGGGAGGCGAGAGGTGGAGGAACGGATGGTTAAGAAATGAGGGTGTAGCGTAATCTAGGGGTTTATTCGGTGTAGCGTAATCTAGGGGTTTGTTTCTAGCAATGGTTTTCACGGGGCTTTGCCGTTTATTCTAAGCAGAGTGAAGAGAGAATCAGTGACTGTGTCTGACGCGTAAGGCTGCCACCACACGCCTTTGGGCATCACCGCCGATAAAGGATGATAGGACTGATTATATAGCGTAAATTGATAACTAAGTATCCGCAGTGAAGGAAGACGAGGGGCAAACTATGATCCTAGGATGATTTCTGCTAAGAAAACTCCGGAGAAGAGTCGTTATCCTGTTCACTATTTGGTGTGGCACAACAAACACCGACAGCTGGAGAAAGAGCTGGCAACCAACGAGCAGGTGAGACAGAGACGATCAAACACATCTCACCACACACACATAGGCCTGTGTCTTTATTATAGGCTATTATATGGGCGTGTGGGTTGAGAGATTTAAGATATGGTGGTATAGATGCCATCTATGGATCACCTCATTGAAAAAAATAATGGGAATAGCGCAGTTAATTACGTGCAGGGTGGAGGGGGACACTTGTAGACCATATTACAGACTTGAATTTACACTATTTTTTTTATACTCATCCATTTATAAATCAGTGACATACTTTACATGTCAAGAATTTGTGTTATTTACTGCACTGGTGCTTAAAATATTCCTCCTCCCTGTAATTTTAATATACATGGGAAGTTGTATCAAGAGTTTAATCCTGGAAACATTCTAAGTGCAAATGAGTGTAATTGCTGAGCCTGATGGCTGTTGTAGTGTATGTGCCTGTGTGTTTTTGGTAGAGTCAGTGGTGCTTTATGTCTGTGTGTAAGCAGCATTATTGTGAGATCTACTCAAAACTGTAGGCTCTCTACCTTCCCACCAGCACCTACATCGTTTGTGAGTGGGTGAGACAATGCAGATACCGTGCATGTGGGTGAACAGTCGCCAACCACCACAGTAAATACAGAAATGGGATCAGTAAGGGGCTGTGTTATGTTTCCAGATAGAGATGATTTTTATAATCAAAAGCTTGAAGAATTATTTTACTTCACCTCAAGAGAGCACATTAAACTATTCCAGTGAAGTGAGTCAAAATTCTTTCCTCCTAATTGTACTGAAGCCCTTTGTCATTACACTAGATGGTCTGCAGGTTAGCAACTAAAAGATTTTTGAGGACATGCATCATGCAGCTGCCACTTTGACACACATATGCCAACTTGCCCACACACATTTATGCACACTTGCCTACAAATGTGCGACCTTACTTCACCAAAATGGTTAGCATGTGCCACCAAAGGCAGCCATCAACTGGTTTACCACAATCCCTACATTTACAATAAGGATGTGTGATATTGACCTTTACATTTAACCCTTGATCTTATACCTGTGGGAAAGAAATAATGAAATGTAACGCACCTTACAATGAAGAGACTCGAAGGACAAATGAAAACGTCTGGTATTCACATCAGTGCCACAGGTAACTTACTCTGTTTTGTAGCTAGTGGAGCTTTGCCATTGTGGAATACTCACTTCAGTACTCTACAGACTCAACAGTTAACTAAATTAACATGTCATTAGCTCTTTGGTTTCAAATTCATTATTAAATGTTAATGTTCAGCATAGAATCCTCACAAGGATCCATCATTAGTCAGCCATCAGTGTTAAAAGTTGGTCTGATTGCCCAACAGTTTGAAAAGTCTTGACAACTGTTGGGTGAATTGCTGTGGATTTTGGTACTAAGCAGACATTCACAGTTCCCAGATGAATACTGTAAAGACTGATAGTTCTCCGACTCTTCATCCAAAAGCACTATGTGAACAAAATCCAAAAAGTCAGGGTGTTTCTATAACCAGTGACCAAAATTCCTCCAGCCTCAGATGTATTTTCAGATTTATGCTGATGCAGCGCATATGCCTTCAGTGTTTTACTGGGCTGTCTTTTTTAGCCCAGTCACCACCAGAAACGTACTGTGACATTCCTCCAGTTTCCTAAAATAGGCCATATATCCATTGTATGCTGGCAAACATGTTTGACTGTCATAAAGATGCACATGGAAACTGGGTGTGGCCTATTTATTAAACTGGATGCTGAGTTCAAGGCCCATAACACATTCATATCAGTGTCTATTATTCCCACCACTAGGTTTTCCAAAAATGAACTGCCAGGGTGAGAAGAAATCATACTGTGAAAAGTAATAGTTGGACTTGTGTCACATTTGAGGAGTCCAGTTCCTTTGTCTGTCTTTTTTCATAATAGCAGTCTATAGATTACAGACTGCCCTAATCTTCATGGTACTAAATAACGTTTTTACCAAGACATAACTATTTTGTATAAAAGGGCCTCCCCCATTTTCCATATCATAGAATTTAGATTAAGAATCAAGCTTTTATACACATTATAGACAATTACACATGTCCCTGTTTTGCAACCCCTCTGTGAGATACCAAAAATCCATTATGATGCTATACTTGGTAAATTAGAAAAAGTAGTTTAATGGTTCTCTACATCCATCTCAAACGTTAACCTGTTGACTTATTATTTCCAGATTTCTTTATTTCTTCCCACCAACAGGTAGTGATATTTTATTTCACTGGTACTTCAGAAATACAATACTACATTGTAATTTGTGGGTATTACCAAATTAAATAGTAAATATGTACTTGCATATACTGTACTGTAGGTGAAATTTCACATCATCTATAAATTGGAACTTTTGGCTTTATTTGCTTTACACAGATATAATCAATATGTTCTTTTTTAGAAATATATAAATATTTAATTATGCTAATTGGATTGCTCTTGCTCTGCATTGTAACACAGGACATTGAACTTTTTATAAACTAAGCCAAACAGACTGCTTTGTAGTTCTTTTTCTTATACTGAATGAGAATAAACACACACCCGTTGAACATCCTAAGTACCGAGGTGTTTAGAATAAATTCATGTAGCCTATATATACTGTATATCTATGATATATTCTGTAATGTTCATCACAGTAGTGACTTATTGAAGATACTGGATTGCATGGGTGCCATACATTTTACTGGAATATAGCAGTGTCAAAAGAAGCACCAACAAAATAGAAAATAAGAGAAAAAGGTACAAAATAGGACCTTAGTTATCAGCTAGCTCTGCTTGATGGAAGCCAGTAGTAAACTATAATTTCACTTCTGTCTTTTCTTGTTCCCTTCTCACTGTTGTGAACTTCTGCTGAACTTCATCAATGAATGTAACTACAAACTAGCTCTGCATTTCTTGTTCTTTCTTATTGTGTGTATTTGTTTGTGTGTGGGTGTATGCACATGTCAGTATGAACCAAGGTTTTGCATGTGCTGTATAACTCAACCTTTTGCATAGTCAAACATTTTACAAACCACACATTTATATTAGCTCTAAAGATTAGCATCAGATCCCAGAACTCATCTGACACAGTTTATGATGTACTGTACTTTAAACTGTAAACCGAGCCTGCAGTTTATAAGTACAGTGCTGACTGAACTACAGTAGGGCAGTGTACACACACAAACATACCATCAGAATCATTATTCCTGTGCAAGTTGAGTGTGTAGGGATAATAAGCAAAGTTTATGGTTATTTAGATGTGTAATTTAAATGCTTTTGTAGTTTCAAAAAAAATCCATTTTAGAAAATTAGGACAAATGTCACTTTGCCAAGTATGTCCAAGCCCTAGTTGATGTGCCTGCTGTGAATAACCAGGACATTGTCTATATCACATGCATTGATCCAGTGGTGGAAAGTGATTAACTACATTTACTCAGGTATTGTACTTAAGTACAATCTTACGATATCTGTACTTTGAGTATTTTCATTTTCTGTTACTTCTTACTTTGACTTCACTAAAGTTTAGAGGCATATATTGTACTTTTCACTACACCACATTTATTTTATAACTTTAGTTACTAGTTACTTTTCAGAACCAGATTAATACAAAAAATACTGTACAGTTATAAGATGTCATTGGTCTGTGGCGGAAAATTCACAGGCTACCCAGCAGTAATTCAAATTATATGCAAATAAACCGGTTAAAACTAGCTCCCTCTTTACCAGCTGCAACATTAAATCTGATGTACACAATAATGCATCTGTAATTATAACACAGTAATATGACATACAGGAATTTGAAATGTGCCATTCTGTATAATGAGTACTTTTACTTTTAGTACTTTAGATATGTTTTAATGCTAATACTTTTGTACTTTTACTTAAGTAATATTTTTAATGCAGAGCTTTTACAGTATATTTCCACACTGTTGTATTGCACTTTTTACTTAAGTAAAGGATCTGAGTACTTCTTCCACAAATGCATTGACCTGTGCTTAGATTTGGATGCTTGGAATTTGAATTTCGGTAACATGAAAATCAAGGCCACCAGTCATCATTTCTCACTGACTTAGTGTGACAGTATCCAGACAGACCAACCAAATGAGAGAAAACATGGAGGAGGGGGTACTCTAAAATTGGGTGATTGCAATTATGCAAATATCAGTTCCACTGAACAGACTCTGGATGGAGTAAATCATGTGTGGTGGTTACATAGGCCTTGGTCCCAGCATGTGTCATTTTAGCCATACGCCTCTCTTCTGTCCTTTGTTGTCTGCTAGTGATGACCAAAGGTTCACTGTAACAGTTTAAACATGATCTTGTTAAAACTCTGAATAATATCATTTTCCAATCAAAGAGCAAAGTAATGGATTTAGCTGAAGTCCTGTATCAACAAGGGCAGTAAGTACATCTGAAGCAGTGAAGCCAAAATTAGGAGGAGGAGGCATCATATACACTTACACACTTGGCATAATGAAGTGAGTTTAAAATCCACTTCTAGAGAGAGTGAAGACAGAGATTCCTGTTGTTAGCAACAGCCATGGCAGATAATGAGGAAGAAGAGTACTAGAGACACATATGCATAATCCTTGTTGCAACAATAGATTATTACAATACAGTGCATTGTGGTAGTTTCTATGATATCACTGACAGGCATTAGGATATCACATTACGGCCATGCCGTTACACCTTGGATAACAATGGCAGTATTGTGCAGATAGCGCATGATAATGTTTGGTCTCTGATGAATTTGGTTTCCACTCAGCTGTGGAAGAATTGTATAATATCACTGACCTCTGTGTTATGCCATAGTAAAATAAAAGTAATCTATAGTCTTCTCCATATCAGGTTTTTAAAGCCTGCCCAGCCTTTAGTAAAATGATGACACACATTTTATTTCACTACTTTATGTGCATGCGTCAAATACCCAGCACTGTTTCTGGCTGGGCGCTTATTTCCCTCCAGCACAACAATGTAGTAAACAGCTGGTGTGAGATGATGCTGAAAGTTTT